TTCTTTAAAATTTTATGAAATCTTTCGATAAAAAATAAAAATTAAAAACTTCAACAACCTGAAGATTATGCGAAACACTCAAAACATATTGAAAAAAGGAAGAGTACACGATAAACGAATTATCACGCAATTAACCTCCGATATTCGTGTTAATTAACATCTCTGTCGGCAGAATTATTGCGAGGAATATTTTAAGCAAAAGAACTTGCAATTTAGAAAGGGCCACGAACGGTTGATTGGCGAGCTGTTAAGGGGTTAACCAAACAATGTCTTCCCGTGCATTCTTGCCGGTAATTTATGGCAGAATATTAGGGTACCATGAGCCACCCGAAACTTCAGCCACGGTCAATGCACTGTCGCACGTGGGCGTGCTTCCATTAGGAACACTGTGTCGCATTCCATCGCGAATTTCTTTTTTTCAAACGCCTTCGGTCGTTCTTCTCTTTTTCTCGATTCTCACGCGGTTTCATAATCACGCGCATAATAGGAAGCGTAACGGAGAGAAACGCGATACGAGATGTGTAGAAACGTAACTAAGTTCTGTGCTAATTATTTCCTTGCTGAATAAATAAATCGTACGTGATCAGAGTTTTGTGTTAATTACGTTATTTCCGCAGTGCACAAACAAATTAAGCCGATGCGAGGGGAACTTTATCGAAGTGTAATCAAGCTTTAGGTCGAATTTATTTCCTTAGTGCAGAAACAAATTAAGCTGCAAAATATGAAACGAATATTATCAGAGAAGTGTGTGAATGTTATCAAGTTTTGTGTCGATTAGATTATTTCCTTACTACGTGATATATAGTATAAAAACGTGATGACAGAAGTGGATAGGTAGATGTGATGAAACTTTATTTTCAGCAAACTTGGTCAAAAGTTTACTTGTATCAAACTTGATAGTTGCTTTTACATTAAAGTGTTTAGTGACATTATTTATCATTGGATAAACATGTTCTTCATAAAATAATTTTAACCTTGATAGTTATTTATTTTTAACCTTGATATTTATGTTAACCCTGCGATCATCTAATAGTAATTTGAAAAATATATTAAACATAAGACTCTACGATATTCTCTACAAAATAATTCTACGATTTTAAATTGTTTAATCATTATATACTGATCAACTTCGCTCAATAAGTGACAAAGTAAAATAACTATTAAATTTTAGTAGAATTTCGTGGTTAAATAACCAAACATAACGAAAATTAATGGAAACTGAGTCAATTATTCGCATGGCTGACTTCAAGTTAGAGAGAACTAAAATTGAAAATTAAAAGGCCTTTTATTAAATTTTGATGGAATATTTTTGAATCATTTTGTAAGATATTCTACTTTAGGTTACAAGTGAGATTTACAAAATTATGATTTAATTAATTGTTACTCGAAACTTACAAAGTAATTACTGTTTTTGATATTACTAACACTTTGAATTCCCACGTTAAATTTGTTAAAAATTGTCATTAATTTTAATGTTATTTTCATCATATTTGGTCAAAAGTTTACTTGCATCAAACTTGATAGTTAGTTGCTTTTACATTAAAATGTTTACCGACATTATTTATCATTGGATAACTAAACATGTTCTTCATAAAATGAAACGATGTTCTCTATAAAATGAGAACATGCTTTTTACAAAACGAGTGATCCATACAATTTCAAACAGGAAATTATGCGTCACCCAAATATGGCGTACATGGGGACAATGTGTTAACTTACACTTGCTGTTACCTCATCCTTGAAGTATACTCTTCGTACAGTTCTAACGACGTGATGAAAGTTACACTTTTTCTAACTTTCACCAAAGTTTTCCGACAATTTTCATAATTGCATGTGCATGATACCTGTTTTGTTGATCGACACAGAGCAATGACACGAATCGCACGCAGTGGTTGAACTGAATTAGTAATTCAAGTCACCCAAATAAATTCCTACCATTTCGACTTTCTTGTTAATATTCATAGTTAAACTATTCGTATTAAATCACTTGTTAGAGCGTTCTTAGATATCTTATAAGTTCCCATAGGTAATTTCAATAAATCGTGTGTGGTTTGTAGGTTAGATTTCTGTTTTGGAAAACGCGGTAGGGGACGAAAGTAACGTGTTACTATGGGGACGAAAAGAACTGCAAAAACTGTACCAAGGGTGATGTACTATACGTGTCATAACTGTAATTGGAAATAGATAAATAAGCCACATACGATACCGAAGAAATGTTCGAAACTATGCCTCCTACTTTTCGTTATTTAAATGTACGAGTATTGTTTCTATCGCTGCTCAAAATATAATATATTTATTCAAGTATTTCTGTTCATCGTTTCTTATAAAAATCCCATTCTGCGTTAGAGAAGGTATTTTTCAATTCTCCACAAAATTTCGTCCTGATGAGTCAGAAGTTAAGCAAGGATTAAAAATAAACAAAGAATAAAAGATAAACAAAGTTAATTTTTTTATGTCCATGTCAATAAATCTTCCACGGAAAGTTAATAAATTTTGAAAATCTGTTTTAAAAATTCTGCATTGAAACACATACATAATAATAAGAAACAGCAACCATATAAACGTTTTATTTTGTACAGCTGCTGATGCAGATGTTCTACCGTTATATTACCACCGAGGAATCGTCTTCTACAAGTATGTACACAGTTTTAACATAGCCTCTCAGCAGGACGTATAAAATTGGGGAAGTTCTAGGAATCGGTTTATTTTTATAGCGCGTAAACAGAGAGTAAAATGTTGATATGGTACGGTCATAAAAACCGTCTCCTAGGGGATTATTTGTATTAAAGATGTGGAACACTTGTAGATTCCTGCAGGCTTGCGTGGCTAACGAGGTAATTTGTCAATTGAGTTGTAAATAAAGAACCTATGATTTATCCGTTCTAAGAGGAAAGTAACATCTGAGCAGAAAATATAATAATTGATAATGTTGTTAACGTAACAGATTTGTAATATTGTAATAACTTGATACATTAATTTACAAATTTAATACTTTGATAATTTGATATTTCACAATTCGATGATTCAATAATTCAATAATTCAATAATTCAATAATTCAATAATTCAATAATTCAATAATTCAATAATTCAATAATTCAATAACTCAATAACTCAATAATTCAACAATTCAACATTTCAACAATTCAACAATTCAATAATTCAAACATTCAATCATTCAATCATTCAATAAATCAATATTCAAATAATTCAGCAATTCAGTAGCTAAAGAAAATACTTTAAAAATCGATAACAACAAATAGATATAATATCGCTTACAAAATATTTGTTACATTAAATATTTGCAAGTAAATATTTCGGCACCTGTTACTTTTATGTAAATACTTCTCTAAAGGTCATAATTCAGTCGCAATTAAATCCGTTCATTTGCACATCGCTTCCCACAATTGAATCGGCAGAAAAGGAGAATCTGCTGCAACTATCCGATATTATCTATCATAATTACAGATCGACGAGACATGTAGTCTTCGGGATACAGGAAGATTGTCACGTGCCTAATTGACGTGGTATCCCCGTGATTATGGCTGAATCACGCGAAACTCGTAGTCGGCTAAAGATAGCCAGGATGGAAGAAAGCAAGGTTCCCCTTTTCTTCGATAGTTATCGTTTCTCGTCCGCGCGTAGTTAAACACCATATGGCTGGTTTTTGTTCCGTCGAGGAAATGGCGAAGGGAGGCAAGGTTATTTATTACATTTACCTTCTTACCTACGGAAGTCTGGGCTATTGCACTGAAGCCTATTGTCGATCGAAGAGCAGGTTCAAAGAAGGGAGAGCCCGTCTTGAAACAACACGGGTCACATGCCACCCGTGTCGAACCACCCTTTGTCTTTTTCGAACGGACAAATCCTCGAATTTGTTTACGAGCCCGTAGGGAATTAATCGCACGCGAACTTCGTCGCAGAAAATTTGACGAACGCTCGGTTAAATTGCCGGCCATTACGAGGGTTGCGAACCACCGTTTCTCTCCGGTAATTTGTCTTCGTTGCACGAATACAAAGGAGAACACTGGTTTTACATGTGACCGACAAAGTAGCCTACGCTTCTTCGATTAAGAAAAATTCGGGACAATTTTTGGACCTGCTTACACCTGGCATGGTGAAAGGGGACCGAGAAACAGGTGATTTTCGGGAATTTTTAAGAAGCTTACAAGTCAGGAACGAAAATACTTTATTGCATATGTTTTGAAGGTGAATTTTTTTTAATCCAAAATTGTAGACAACACCCTGTTTCAGAGGGTATATTTTCTATTTGAATTTTGAATATTTTATTGAAAATATAAATTTTTGTTAGATTTTAACTTTTAAGAAGAAACGAATAATAATATTACCGCTATTATTAATAGTATTAGCAATAATGTTATTAATAATAATAACAAAATAGTAGCAATAATAATAACAATAGTAATATTACTAATTTTGTAATAATATTAATATAGCAAATAAATGTAACGAAAAGAATTTCTCAGGAAACTCCTCTCACATGTTGCAGAACGTTAAAGGGTATGAAAGAGACGACGGAAGTCGTTGGTGAACGGCAATCTGCAATGGAGGAAGTACGATCTAAGAGTAGATTGTTCATTTTCCTTAGAGCAATCTAGCAATACGGATGTACTGTCGGTCAAAACTCACGAAACGTCACACAAGACTGCCTACGCGTTGGATTTCATCTTCCACGACTTCCTTCACCACCTTGCGGTTGTACCCTGCTTACTTTTCTTGCTTGTGACCTGATACACCACTAATTTCGTGATTACCCTCGTATAACGAGTACGGTGACATAGGAAACTCGATGGGCCCTTTGTTTACCGATAAAAACCCCTGCTTCCACAAGGGAAGCCAAGTTTTCTCAGCCTTGTCCTCATGGTAAATACTGTTATTTCAAATTATTTAGCCTCTTTGAATATTCTTTGTTAGTTACCTTCTTTTTCTTATTCGATTTTCTTTATTTCAGAGAATTTTTGTAAGATAAATTTCTATGAAACAAATTTTCTTTATCGTCTTCAGGAATTTTTCTTTAAAATGAAGTTTTATAGAGTAAACTTTCTTCTTCATCTTTGAGAATTTTTATGTATTAACATTTTGTAAGATAAATTTTCTTCCGCACCTTCAGGAATTTTTGTGCAAAACAAATTTTTGTGAGATGCTCTTATAAAATTATGAAGACACTTCTGTACAAATGTGTTTTGACTTTTGCGGAGATTAAGGATCATGGTATTATAGTTAGTGTATCATCCATTATTTATTTTTCTACTTCAATGTAAACATAAGTAAATGTCGAATCCAGTGTTAATGTTAAATTTTGAATAATGCCAAAAATATATTCTGCCAGAAACGGAAGTATTTTTGAGTAACGAGTGACTCGGTATTTTCGATCGATTTTGTAAAATATTGGTAAACAATTAGTTAGAGGATCACCCTGTATATCAGTGTCGCAAAGGAAGTGAAGATTTCTGTGAATGCATCTGCTTGCCATGCAGAAGCAGCACATCTTAGGCTCGGCATTCTCATTCTTCTCCTTATAGGCTGATGACGCGAGCAAAGGAAGTTGTAGCATTCCTTCTTGTAAAAATCCCGTTCCTGATGCATAATGCACTTGCAGAAATTCAAACGCGCGCCTTCAATTTGCATGTGTCCATCTCATTTAGTTTTCGTTGCTACCAGAAATGAAATTATGCAAACGAAAACAGCATTGCTGATACTGACAATGAAACTGCTAAATGATTGTTCGTTAATGAGCCCTCGAACTTCGTGCAGCATTAACGGGAGTGCTCTCGTTTTTTCACCTCATGATTATTGCATCAAATATAAATATCAGGATTCCTCTTCAGCCTGCAATTGTTAGATGGTTATTAATATTTTTATACCTTTGTATTTTTATATTTATTTATTTCTATATTTTTATATTTTTGTATTTCTATTTTTGCAATAAAATCAGACTAACAGAATATTCTAATATTTATCTAATTTATCAATACATAAGAGTATCATCAATATACTATTTCACATAACATTATAATAAATATAAAAATATACTGTTTATATAAAATATAAACATTATAATAAATAAATATAATAAATTAAAATAAACATTATAATAAAGAAGTTTCATTAAATCATAACACAGTAATTTTTATTTACCTTCAGTTTTATTTACCAACTGCAAGTACTTACTTTTCGTTTCGCTTTCATTTTATTGGCGCGTAATTTAAAATTGTTCGAAGTACTTTTGTAACTCGAGAGGTATGCGGCAACCCACAGGTAGCAGATGCTGTGAACCACAAAAGTTTATTGCTCGTTAAATTGCAACATACACTTTACAGCTCAATGCATATTGTAAGCTTTATTGTTTTCAAACTTTTTTTTCTGCAACACAAAGAACATTTATCAGTTGTTATTCGGAAGTATTGTACTCAATGAGTACGTTGCAAAAATATTTATGTGAGGTTTCTGTTTCAATATATAAAAATTTTCACATACTGAAAGGTGCATTTTAATGTAAATAATAACTGTTATTAATTGTTGATAAATTTAAGTAAATATTACACTATGTAATCGATTGAAATTAATGTCGAACTAAATTCAAAAAATTTTAAAATTAAATTTCTACATTTTCAAAATTCTATATTTTTATATCATTACATTTAAAACGCTATATTTTGAAGTTTATATATTCCCAAATTGAGAATTTAAGATTTAACAGTTCTTTAATACCTATAATTTACAAGAAGACCATCCAAAGATCGTTAAAATTATTACCAAATTATTAAGAAAAATTGCAGTCCCGAAATGAACGTCAGTTTACATTAATTCGCTTCATCATTCAAATTTAACTCATAAATACATAATGTCCCTGTTCCTTAACATTATTTTCACTCAATAAAGTATGCTCGTAGCGTGCACCCCCTCGCGAGCTTCATCAATTACGCGAAATTCTCATCCCATTAATGCGCGATGGCGAGTTAAAAATAAGCGAGTCGCGTTAATTTAATCTTAACGACGACAAACGTGACGATCCACGTTGCTAGTAATATACAGGCTCGAAATGATGCCACAAGATCGTTAAATTCAGTAGCTTAATACGGAAATACTGCTTAAATATGGAAATATTTAAATGTAAGTTCGAACGACTCAACGTTTAGATTATGGTCAATGTGACATAAAATCTGTGACGTCATTCGGGACAAATTTTATTTTTATCGCTCGCAAAATGATTTACTTTTATCCTTGTGAATTGTGGAAACAATTGTAGACATTGATGAGCTATTGATTCGAATTTTATTATTTAATGTTGTATTTTTAATTGTCTTTTTCAGGAATTCACTCTTTATAATTATATCTTTTTAAATCACCTGTTTATAACTAACCTAACTTTACGTCTCGAGTCATCTTGATAAAATTTAAGTACATTTTTAACCTGTTGCAGTTATAGTATTTTAAGTTCTACTGTAAATGTATACTTATTCATAATTTCGTTTATAAAAATAACTTCTTTTTACAAAATCACAATACATTCAACAAAACCACTGTACTTGATGATAAGTAAGCGACGAAGTGACACTTGTAAATGACACAGTAAGAGGTTATAAAACAATAATGGTAATCTTTCACAATAATGGTAATCTTATGTGTAGTTTCTTTTCTCAAAGGTAAATAAATATTTTCTCAAAGGAAAATACAATAAAGTATGAAATATTACAGTGGTACTTTTTGGCGGGAAGAGCAGGCTATAAAGTTCAGTATGAAAGAAAAACTACATTATAGCTTCGTTCACTGTCATGCGTTGTTTTGGTTTATGCTTGAGTGGCATGCTCGGACAGCGTTAGTTTCTTTTCTATGTTAAAATCTATGACAGATAATACGAAACTTTTTCAATTCGGCATTTCGTTTCTTACACACGCGATCTGTTCTCTACTACAATTATAAATAACAAATACTGTTCGCATTATCGATAGAAAGAATGGAAAAGTGGGTTAATTCGCGACACGTGAAAACCATTAGCCTTTGAAACAAGGGTGCTCCCCTAGTTCGCCATTTATCCTCGTGTGCCTACACACTGTCACATGTTTCAGTTACGGGATAATCCGATCGAAATGGTGTTTACAATGTTAAACCGCTGTCCTGCATCTGTTGCAGGGGAGCTTTAATCTGTATAATGTTATCTACAGCAAGATAACTCAAACGAAAAGGGAAAGTTGAGAAGATGAACTAATACTTTGTTGACGCGTTATTAATATATTAACACGGTGATTACACGCTGCAGTTTTTATATTTGATCGATAAACACCCGGAACATGTACAACAGTGTTTAAATAAAATATGTATGCCTTGACGGATTTTTATTAGATTGTAAGCATTCTTTGATATTGTTTAAGTTTATGATATTTATTATTAAGTCTGTTGATATTTATTTAAGTATATTAATTAGATAACGACGCTATTTTGTTTTTCACAATATGGCTGATAAATCGACTTGTTATAATAATAATAATTTTGTAAATAACTCAATACATGAACATTGAAACACTAATTTTGTGAGAATCAATTTTACATGCATTTTAACTTCATGACAACGTGAAATTTACTCCCACAATAAATAATAGTAATAAAAAGAAGTAAGCCTGAAACGATCTGTAAAATGTTCCTCGGCGAAGCAAATACCTTAGTTTACAAAATGAATTCTCGTTATCAGATTCTTCTGAAATCATTTCTAACTTCTTCATACTTTTTTTTCTTTATCTGACCCCTCCTTCTATATGCTTATACTTTTTATTTTAGATCGTCGTTTTCGAAAGAATGCTGTTTGGTCAAGATCGACTTGTATACGTGTGTACCTGTGTTGCACCGACTAAATGAAGTTCAATAAACCTCCGTGGACTTCGACTTCGGCGTTCTCTTTATAGTGTTCTCGAATGCATAATTAAGCAATCGTGAAATTAATTAAAATCATTTCACACTAGTTGCACGACACGTTGCGTTTTCGAACGAACAAAATTGAAGTTGCAGTTTTATTCATCTTGTAATAATTACAACGAACTGGTTTCTGTCGAGGCAATGAAAAATTTCCTTTGGGAAATTATTTATTATTGCTGATGGAACTACAAAGTGAACATGTTTCTTGTTTTAAATTAAAAATACATGGCAGATTATTTGCAGTCACATTAATTTTTGTATTTATAATTGATACATGTCAAATGTTTAGAACTTAACAATTTGTGAATATTACTTGCACTTTGAATAGAACTGTTGGATTTTTTTATTTTATCGTGTTTTGTTTTTGATATTCACTTCCGGTATGAAAGGTAATGTATCTGTAGGGATTAGTTCTTTAGTTTAATTATAGATACATCAATTATAATATTGTTAAACAATTCAACATTCTCTTATACATATGTTAATAATTATTAATATAAAGTAATGTTAATATTATCTTATATTGTATTTTATATTAATAATTATTACAATTATTTATTTAGTAATTACATGAATTATTATGAAATTATTTATTTATGAACACATAAATTATTTGAAAATTAAGTGGGTAACAAAAGTAAGTAAACACTTAGAGCTTGTGGCAAAAAAACATTTGTGTCAAAGCAAATATGTAACTTCAAAAAACGAATTGTATATCTGCTGAAACTGCATGAAATAATCTATATAATTATGCCGATAAACTGTTCATTAGTACTGGATTTCCTCATAAAAAATAATAAAGACTCACGGTATGCAACGAATACACGTTCCAAAAGTAAGTAAACACGACCGGCATTGCTCGATAACTTTTTAATACTTGCAATTTTACAATTTCTTTATGAATGACTCTTATAGATTATTTCATGCCGAATCTAAATTCGTAAACTGTTTCTTTGTAGTGGATATCATTTTCGAGAAAATTTGACTTAAAGGAAAATTGTAAATTTTCAACTTTGGAAATGTTTCAGTCTTATAGGTGCTTCTATTAATTTTATTTTTATACCAAATTATTCTGCAAATTCTATTGAATATAATGATATGAATTGTGATAACATTGTAATTTTTTAATTATGTTTAAATGCCAATGGAAATGAAGAAGAAACCCAAGACTCACCGATGTCTGCTGATGTTTTCTAATTTATTTCAACGACTAAGAGTTTCAGAAAAATTCTAATCAGATCAAACGAAACAGTAAATATTACAGTTGAAAAAGGTACACAAGAAAGATAACAAATCGTGTTATGCTTTGAGTACATGTGTCAAACGTTTCGGAAAATTATTAGCACGAAATCCGAAAAACGTTCGTACAAAAAAGACGACCGTCAGTGATGAGTATCACTGCCGTTACTATGTGAAGTTATTACAAATTTATTTATTCTTTGAATGACCGATATCGTATTCTTCATTGCATAACGCGAATATGCAGTTACAGCAGTGATACTCATACAATTTGTTTTTTGAAGTTACATATTTGCTTTGACACAAATGTTTTTTTGCCACAAGCTCTAAGTGTTTATTTACTTTTGTTACCCACTGTATTTAAATTTGAAAATTTGAGAAATAAGAAATTTTAAAATAGAAACCCTGTAAATTTAGGGAACTGAAAATTTAGATGACTGAAAGTTTAAAAATTTGAAAATATGAAGAAATTTGGAAATTTAACAATTCGTGGAACAGAAAATTTATGAACTTGAAAATTTTAAAACAGAAACATGATTATTTGGGGAATTGAAAATTTAGAAATTTAGAAATATGGAATTTTGGAAATATGAAGATAGAAACTGGAAAACTTGAATAACTACAAAATTCAAAAATTGGAAAATTTGAAAATAGAAACTTGACAATTTGGCAAACTAAAAATAGAAATTTGACAATTTGGCAAACTGAAAATAGAAACTTGACAATTTGGCTAACTGAAAATTTACTAATGTGCAATATTTAAAACTTAGTTTAAAAAATATTGAAGTACAAATCAAGAAAGAATATAAAAATACTGAAATATTGAAATCACTACGGGCCACAAACAAGACACATATCCCATTACGTGTTTATAATCCCTGAAAAATAATCATAACTTTAATCCCAGTAATTGGTAACTTCAATATCGTTGCAAAACTTGCATCGATGCTCGTTTAATTGAAGTAGATGAAGTTTTTCACTAGTGCAGAAGTGTGATTTCTTGTAATTTAAACGGTTTCAGGTGCGCCTGGAAACATGGTTTTAATTGACGAGAAAAAAGTTTCTATTCGAAACGAGTGAGTTGTAATTAATCTCGCTACTTCAAAGGGTGCTACGTGGAAACTTTCTTTTAATTAAGTTTTATTGAAGCCTCGGATCTCTTACGATCAGGATTTTTATTAAACGACTTACATGCTTTAATTGCTCGAAACATT